CGGCTCCCACCAGAGAATGCTGCTGTTGTGTCCTTGGGCAAGACACTTAACCCACCTTGCCTGTTGGAGGTGGTCGGCTGGACTGGAAGCACCAGTGAACGGCAGGCCTCGCCTCTGTCAGTGTGCCCCAGGGCAGCTGCGGCTTCCAGCGTGTGAATGTGTCTGTGAATGGGTGAATGACTGGTTTATGAAGCACCTTGGGGCGGCTGTAGAACTCTAAGAAGACACTATAAAGATACAGCCCCTCTAAATAATAATGAACAACCTTTTGCTGTTTTCTCCTTCCCATTTAATAGAATAAAGACTGGAATAATAAGATTTCTGGGGATTCAGGTCTTCTCAGTCAGGTCTCAGTACTCCTTGGAAGTTGGTGAGTGCCTGTTCTGTAGGAGGTCACGCCTTTTGTTCAGGAGTAAAATATCTGTAAATACACCTGATCTGGTTAAAAGTCTTGAGAGGGACAAAAATAGTTAAACAAAAATCCTAGAGTACTACAAATTAACTTTCTTTTGTTGTTTTTTTGCCACAATTCAAAATAAGTGGCACTTCCTGCACCAAAGCTGCATCTGCAGACTGGCTGCAGAGGGATGAGTGTGCCCTGCTCTGAGTAAGGGGCTGCTCCAGAAGGACTGGGCTGGCTGTGAGTGCTTTGGAATGAAGGATGGCTCCACAGTAGGACAGTCTTTGTTGAGTTTGATATTAGATTATTCAAAAATTCTCCCAGAACACCAGAAACAGACACATTTTGCTAGTTTTTTCCATGCTATGAAGTCTAAAACCTACCATAGGTAATTAAGCTGGTATCATGTTCAGTGCCACCTTTAACAAAAGAGAACAAAGTGATTCCCCGTTCGGCCACCACACACAGATAAGGTATAGTTGCCTCCAGCTGGAACTCTGCAAACGTGTCTCCAAATTATTTTTAGCATCCAAGTCCTGACTTTAATCAGCAGCACTTCTGAGTTGATATGAATCACTTCCCTGTATTTGGACTGTAGCTCAGCTCCATCCCACCCTAAAGGCAACAAACCCAGTGTTCTTCAGCTCTCAGCAGATTTCTTTGGGGGTTGTTTCTAATATGAGTCCAGGCAGGCGAGCCGTTGGGCAGCTGCCCTCACCGGATGAAGCCAAGCCACACTTCAGAGTGATGCTCTGTGCCAGGCCAGCTGGTAGGTGACAGCAGAGCATCCCTCATGGCAGAATCAGTGACCTCACTGGCAAAGAGAGGCTGCCGCAGAAAGATAATCACACGTAATAATAATAATACTGCAAAGGAAACAGATTATTTTATCCCAAACCTCTCAGCTAAATTGGACTTTAATGTTTTATAGGAAATGTAAGGATTGTTTTAATGATCTTGATCATTTTATTAACTTCAAATCTCTTCATCAGTTTGTCTTTGAGTTCTGTGAACTTTGTCTGCCATTGGCTGCGGGTTTCATGGGAGATTGACTCCGACGCACTGAGCTGAGTCCAAGAAAAAAGTTGTTTCCGATTAGGATTGTTTTTCCAACACTGCTCTAGAGGTGTGAAGATGCCTGATCACCATCTATGTGAGGACTAGCTTTACCCAACTGGACTGGAAGGCAAGTTGATCTAAAACATCATTCATTCCTCAACATATGCTTATTAACCAACTAACGTGCGTACAATCAGCTTTAAATATTCTAACTACATTCTGAATCATTTAGGTTTGTTTGCACACATATATATATATATATATATATAGTGGTAGACATATGGTGGTAGTGGAGAAACAACAGCTGTTGTGGTTGATGTGGCGATACCAACAGTCTGAGACTGGATCTGGAAGTCCCACAGGAGCATGCTATCTCATTCTCAATCTCCTTAGGGGGTGTTTCCCACTATGACCTTGGTGCTTCCAGTCCATAATCTGCATAGATGTTCTTGTACACGATGCCAGCCACTTGGTTGTGGCATTCCATGTATGCTTTCCTTGCCAACATCTTCCACCCTGCAGTTATGTGGTGGATTGTCTCAGGGGCCTCTAGCCTACACCTTGGGTCTTGTCTGTTGTGGTAGATCTTGGACTCTGTTGCTCTGGTGTTCAGGGCCTGTTCCTGCGCAGCCATGATGAGTGCCCCTGTGCTGTCCTTCAGACCAGCTCTTTCTAGCCATTAGTAGGATTTCTTGATGTCAACCACTTCAGTTATCAGTCTGTGGCACATGCCATTTAGGGGGTTTTCCTCGCATGATGGTATTTCCATCTCCTCTGTTCGCCATTGTCTGAGACTTTCACTGAACATGTCATCTGTTGGGGCCTTTTCCTTGATGTACTTATGGATCTTGGATGTTTCATCCTGGACAGTGGCTCTCACACTCACTAGTCCTCAGCCTCCTTCCTTATGGCTAGTGTACAGTCTTAGGGTGTTGGATTTGGGATGGAACCCTCCATACATGGGTAGGAGCATCCGTGACTTAATATCTGTGGTCTGTATTTCTTCCTTTGGCCACCTTATTGTTTCTGTGGGATATCTGATTACTGGCAGGGCGTAGCTGTTTATTTCCCAGGGGTCTCATTTACAAAACAATGTATAGAATTCTTACTAAAACCGTACTTAAGCTCAGCAAAAAAAAAAAAAAAAAAAAAAAACCTACCCCAAGTAAGTGTGTGACCTATAAAACATGGAGTATGCACAGCTTCACACAGTCCGCTTAATGAATCAGAAACTATCTAGAAAGGTTCTCAGGTGGTTTTGGATCACATTCCACCATCAACACGCCCACTTTCTGCCGTAATTGGTCAATGCAAAGTGTCTTGTGGATCTCATATGCTTATACATAAACCGGCTCGTTGCAGCGCTCCACCATTAATGATCGCGACCGTGGATCAAGGAAGAGCAATTTCACCAAAGCAGAAATTGAGGTACTTGTGGGTGAGGCAGAAAAATGAAAGGAAGTCCTTTTGCAAAACAAATAAGAGAAATTCCATGGAGTGGCAAAGCGTTGCTGAAGCTGTCAATGCTGTGAGTTCTTCAGAGAGATCTGTGCCGGATATAAAATAAATGGTCCAATCAGGATTCAGTCCCCAAACTCCCGAGTGAGAGTCATGCATGCTAACTAGTTAGCCAAAGGGACATCTCCCTTGGCTAAGCAGCCAGGGTGCATGATAAATTGGGTGACAGTGACAGAATGCTCACAGTGTCACAGAAGCATGACATTCTGTCTCAATCTGTTGGTTTGTTGGTTGATGCAGTATCGCGTGGACACAGGTGACAGTTCCACTGGATTGGCAGACTAGGGTGGTGGTCGCCCTATTTAAAAAGGGGGACCACAGGGTGTGTTCCAACTACAGAAGGATCACACTTCTGAGCCTCCCTAGTAAGGTCTATTCAGGGATTCTGGAGAGAAGGGTCCGTCAAATTGTCAAACCTAAGATTCACGATGAACAATGTGGTTTTCTTCCTGGCACTTGCGGAGTACAGACGCTTCTGTTAAGTAATTTTATTAGTCAATCCAAGATTACCTCAAAGAAAGTCCAACACACACAAAGGGGGTTAGAGATATTAGGTTTTAAATTATCAATACCATTTATCAATAATAAATCACATATAATCAACAAACAGACTTTGCAAAATCGGGGAGAAAGAAGATACACACCAGTGGCTGTCTGTTCGGTCTCTCGACGAGCAGATGCTCGCAAAGAGGTTTTATTCAAAAGTACATAGCACACACACATTAAAGAGAAACACACCCACCCCCCTCACAGAAAGAAAACTTTCCCAGGTGCTTGGTATAACAGAGAAAAGCTTCGTCTGCTTTTGTGATAACAACAGACCCTGCAGACCTGCAAGGTAGAACCTCCCTGCCGGAGCCACAGAATAATAACAAAATATGATGAGCATGGAATGAACCTTCGTTTGAAATAAAAAAACACCAGATGGTACCCAGACAAAATCATTTCCCTGCATCCAATATTGTTTTTACCCAACAGCTTCTCTTTTCACTCCCTTATCTTTTTTTCCCAAGGTTCTTTGTCCTGTCTGCCCACAGAGCACTTCTCTGCATTTCTTCTGAAAAACCCTATTTTTTAACCATGGATTTGATCATTCAACGCGATTGATTCGATTTTTTCAACAATGAGAACGGAGCAGGGGGCTCCCACATGTCCACAGGGGACACACCGAGTGGGGTATATGCTGGATTTCTGGAAGGAATGGAAGATCATATGCCTCTCCCAGCTGTCCATTGAGGATATCGAAGACGTGTGGATATTCGGCCTGATGATCACTGGATTTCTCCTGATTGGAGTGGGAGGATATCTGGTTTTCTGGAAATTTGGGAAGACGGGAGCGATTGAAGGGCGACCCGCACCCACGGAAAGCACCGTCCGTGTGGAGACCTCACAGACTGGGATGTTACTCGAGGTGAATTGTAAGCTGGACAATGTTCTAGCTGCGATACCAGTATTAGTGCGCAAAATGGATGTCATCTCGGAGAGGGTCACCAGACGGTATGGACAAGCTTAAAACCCAAAATTGGCTCCACTGAAGGACTGGAATGATCAGTTTAAAGACTGAAGGCAGAGAGGAGAATTATCTCAGCCTGACCCAAACAAATTCTTCTTATCCGAATCTGATGCCCTGGTAGCCTTGAGCGGCAACAAACCCCCACGAAAGAATGCAGACAGATGCTGTGAAAACCCAACCTACCCCCCACCAAACGGATCCCAGCCCTCCCCCTGCCTTCCTATTGGAGTCTCATGTTGTGTTGTCTGAAGTCTGTTGCATATCTGTTGAGGTGTTTTTTTTTGCAGAGCAAAGCTGCCCTCCTGGTGGGAGGGTAGCTGTGAAGTGCCTTTTTTCCCCTTCACTTGAACCAATTCCTCATGTTACCTTCTTATCTCTATTAAGGTAGCGCGACTCGGGTTGCAAATGACCACAGTCACCAATTCTTGTCATGTGTCTTGCCCATGTATGTCTGATCTCTGAATTGTGTGTACTGAAACTCTAATTTCCCTCTGGGATTAATAAAGTATTGATTGATGATTGATTGATTGATTGATTTCATCCTTGCTGTGGAACACTGGATCAGCTCTATACACTTAGGAGAATCCTGGAGGGTGTGTGGGAGTTCGTCCAACCAATCCACATGTTTTTTGTGGATTTGGGGAAGGCGCTCAACCACATCACCTAGGGAGTACTCTGAGAGTATGGGGTACCAGGCCCTCTAATATGGCAGTTAGGTCCCTGTATGACTGGCGTCTGAGTTTGGTTCGCATTGCCGGCAGTAAGTCAAGCTCATTCCAGTGAGAGTTGGACTTCACCAAGGCTGCCCTTTAATAATAATAATAGTAATAATAATAATAATAATAATAATAATAATAATAATAATAATAATACATCAAACTTGTATAGCGCTTTTTAGGTCACTCAAAGACGCTTCACAGAAATGCAATAAACACGTAATAAAACAAAGTTAAACATAGTAAACAGACTAGGGGATGCTGGGTTGATCGCAAGGGAAGGCCAATTTAAAGAAGTGTGTTTTAAGCAGTGACTTGAAAGTAGAAAGAGAGACGGCATTCCTGATGATCAGTGGGAGAGAGTTCCAAAGTGTGGGGGCAGCTGCTGCAAAGGCTCGATCCCCCATGGCGTGTTGTTTTGTTTAAAAAGGGGAAAGGAGGTTGGAGTCAGCAGAAAGGAGGTGCTGGGAAGGAGAATGGTAATGGAGAAGTTCTGTCAGATATGATGGTGCAAGGTTATTGAGGCATTTGTAAGTGATGGGGAGCAATTTGTAATGGATCTGGTATGGAACTGGGAGCCAGTGAAGTTGTTTGAGCACTGGGGTTATGTGGTCCCTGGAGTGAGTGTGGGTGAATAAACGTGCTTCTGAGTTTTGGATGTATTGAAGTTTTTGTAGGGCTGAGGATGGAAGTCCGTAAAGAATGCTGTTGCAATAATCCAGTCTAGAGGTTATGAAGGCAAATATGAGTGTTTGGGCAGTGGAGTCAGTGAGGGATGGATGGAGATGGGCAATGTTGTGAAGGTGGAAGAACAATACCCTGGTGATGTTGTTGATGTGGGAGTTGAAGGAAAGGGAAGAGTCAAAGATAACACAGAGATTATGAACTGTAGAGGAGGGAGTCACTGTGAGACCATCAACTTGTAAAGAAATATTTTGAACTGAGGGTAGGAGATATTTGGGACCAGTTATACTGAGTTCTGTTTTGGAGCAGTTCAATGTGAGGAGGTTGGTGTCCATCTAATGTTTTATGTCAGAGTCCAGTCAGTGTCCAACCAATGTTTTATGTCTGAGAGGCATCCTGAGATCGTGGAAAGAATGGCTGGGGTGATTGATTTGCTAGGGATGTAGAGTTGTGTGTCATCAGCGTAGCAATGAAAATGGAGACCGTGTTGGCATATGATATGACCAAGGGGGAGCATGTAAAGGATGAAAAGTAATGGCCCCAGCACAGAGCCCTGGGGAACACCATGGGTGACAGGGGCAACAGATTCCAAATGCAAATAGCACACTTGAAATGAACTCTGGACCTTTAATGTGCCTTTGTAATTGGGATAATGAGGGAATAACACACACCTGGCCATGGAGCAGCTGAGAAGCCAATTGTCCCATTACTTTTGGTCCCTTAACAAGTGGGAGGCACATATGCAAACTGTTGTAATTCATACACCGTTCACCTGATCTGGATGTAAATACCCTCAAATAAAATCTGACAGTCTGCAGTTAAAGCACATCTTGTTCATTTCATTTGATATTCATTGTGGTGGTGTATAGAGCCAAAAATGTTAGCATTGTGTCGATGTCCCAATATTTATGACCTGACTGTAGTTGGGGGTGAGAGAAGATGGAGATGAAGGAACAGTGGAGAGGAGTTGAGGATTTCTGGTCAGTTATAGTTGGGGTGTTGTATGTCCAGATGCTTTGGTTCTAAAGCAGTAAGAACTTTAATCCTTTGACCTTCAGCGGTGGAAGTTTACAGTTGCTGTGGTGATGACACATGTCATACATAAATATAATAAAAGAGTAAAAAATAACAGATTTGCATGAATCATGGTCATATGTAAAAGATTGGCAGGTTTTATTAGTGCAGCAATCTGGTCAGAATGTGGGTCCATTTGGATGATGAGCTAAAAATGGCTCATCTGAATGAACTCATGTCCAGTTCTGCTCTAAGCACTGGTATTTTATAAACCTTTACATTCAATTCAATTCAGTTTATTTATAAAGCGCCAAACCACAACAAGATTTGTCTCAAAGCACTTCACACAGTAAACATTCCAATACAGTTCAGTTCTTTAAGCCAATCAGTAAAAAGTTTCCTATATAAGGAACCCAGCAGGTTGCTTCAAGTTACAGACGAGTGTCAGTAGTAGCTACATTTATATGGGCACAAGTAATCAGAATAAACGCCCTATCAGATCAACATGTCTTCATGTAAACATGTCAATCGGCATATTCTGATCCAATACGACCCGATCGGAATGAAATTCCATTCCACTTGAGAGAGGCGGTTTTGTCCGATCAACATTCTGATTGATGTCCATGTACACACTCAGTTCGTATTGTTGGAGTAAAATAATGCCCACTGTGCATGTGTACAACTTCAGTGTTACGTCTTTTTGCCTTTGCAGACGCTCAAGACAAGTCCGAGGAGCTGAAAGACGGTGTGAGCAGGTGATCATTAGCATGTTATTCTGCTCTCTTCTCCTGTGGTGGAGGAGCAGTAGCATTACGTACCGTTGAGCTTTTAGCTTAGTTAAAGCAATCAGTAAAAACAAAAGCATACAGGTAGAAATGCAAAGAAGGTCCATATCGGGGAAAAAAACATAAGTCAAGTCTTTTTCAAAATCAAGTCCTGTCTTTCATGTGAAGCTAAAAAGCAACTTGTTACAGCTACCTTTTTGCCATTGCTGGATTATGGTGATGTCATTTACATGCATGCCTCCACACAGTGTCTGCATGCTCTGGATACAGTATACCATGGAGCTTTGAGGTTCATTACAAATCTTTAAATGGTGACTCATCATTGTACATTGTACTCTTGTGTTAGAAGGTCTGCTGAATATCGTTGTAGATTGAAACAGTGGTATGCTTTAATCTATAAGACTGTCCTTGGTTTCCTTCCACTATACTTGCAGAACTACATTTCTCAAAAGACTACTGGAGGCTATTGTATGAGTTCCCATGACTTGCTCCTTTTAAAAGTGCCATGGGTCCACACTGAATTGGGAAAAAAGCATTTAGATATTCTGCTTCTTATTCATGGAATCAGCTCCAAAACCAGCTGAATTTAAAAGAACTGGTCTCAGTGAATGAGTTTAAACAAGTTTTAAATGTTTTAGATCGAGACACCAGGATGTAAATGCCATCATTTATGATTCCTGTTATTGACTCTGCAGGTTGTTTTACTGATTATCTTCTTGGTTTTGGATTTATGACACACACACACACGCACACACACACACACACACGCACGCACGCACGCACACACACACACACACACACGCACGCACGCACGCACGCACACACACACACACACACACACACGCACACACACACACAAACACGGATACACATTTGCACGTAGATTGCTGTCAAGTCCACATTACATTGTAGTTTCAGAAGAGATGTTAAGTAACTTCTCAAGACTGCAAGAACTGACTTCTGGATGCATGGGAAATGCAACATCTTGCTGCTGGTGATGAAATAAAAATAACTCTATATTTTTAATTATATAACTTTTTTATTAACAAAAATTAATGTGAAATACCAAAATGCACAATGATAGTTTAAAACTGGGCCTCTTGTAAGTAATAAACAAAGCAAGCAAGAAAAGAAAATACAAAAAACAAATAGACAAATTTGTATAATTATAATACGTAGTTGTTTGAAATGTGTAAAAAAGAAACGAATGCATGCCTTTGACAAATAAACCATAACATGTATTTATTATAAATTAGGGCTGAACAAATTCATGAAAAATACTTAATTTTACATTTTCTGACAGAAATTGTTATTTTGATTCACAATTATCTTTAGGTACACATGTTTCAGGAAATAAAATGAGTCAGATCAGAGTTGAGAGGGAGAAAGCTCTGGCACCCTTGTTTCAGACTAGACGTTGGCCAGAGGAGTGTGGAGAAGAAGACGGCAGGAGTTGGAGTCTTACTTCCTGATATTTAGACATCTCATCTGATTGGCTAACAGCAACACGACTCTGCCACTGACTGTTTGCTCTGCAACATTGATGTTTTATGTCCACAATAACAAAAATGTGGAGGAGTTCTGCTGTGTGGTGGAGTTGCTAATGGTAATAGTTAGCTTCTACTAGTCGAGACGTTCACTGCTGTTTTCTGGACGCTAAACCAACAACAACCTTCCCCATCATGAGTCAAGATGGGTGAGTCCATGAATGTTAGTGGCATTGTGACGTAGATCTGTCAGGTTTTTCTAATCCTAGAGTTTCACCGTCTGTTTTCTATCAGAAGCTAATGCAGGAGATAGGTGTAGGAGACTATTTTCATGTTCAGCCTGCATGAAAAACTCAGAGTGACTGATTATAATCTGAATTAATCATTAAAAATGTTTTTAGTGACGTACTACTTGAAAGGTTTTTAAAATAAGTGCATTAACTGAACTATTCTAAAGAATGCAATCTCAATTTCTCCTAACAGAGGCCATTTTGGTATGAAAGGTAAGGCCAGAATTCCCTTAAAAAGTTCCTACTGTTGATTGTCAATATCCTTAAAGAACAAACAGGCCGTTTGTAACCTGCTCTGTGTTACAAGCACTCATCTCAGGTTTTCTTAACTTGCTGCTGAACTCCTGAATCTGGACAAATGAAAAATTGAATCAGAATTTCATATAAATAAAAGTTTAGCTTAGTTTCGAGTCCGTTTGGCCAGAAATATTCTTTTGAAGTTTGCAGGTGATTTCTGCTCCTGTGTATAAGCTTCACAGACACACTGGCTCTGTTGTTTAATCTGACTTTCAAGTCAAGGCTGCACGCATGTTGCCCTGGAAACCTTTCAGGGTCCTCCATTCAGCAGCTCTGAGGCGAGGAATGAAAGAGGCGAGTGGGCACAAGCGTCCCGCTTCTGTCTGCCACCGTGCCTCGGACTATTGGGGAAGGTTGCACAGCAAGAATCACTCACTGTCATGGTAAGCTGTTCATTAAAGGGCCGTGTGAAGCCTTTGGTGGAGACTTGCTTTAATGATAGCTATTATTATTACTAATTCCATTAGACAGCGTGCTGCTGAGTGTTTCTGAACGAGTTTGTTGTGCGTGTGACTTCGGAGGTTCCTGCTGTGAGATGGTCCATAGATGAGCTGCGTAGCAAAGTAAAATTAGTTTTTCTTCTGTCTTAAGTTCCTTTAATTTACTTAATTTGATTCTGTGTGATTAGAAACTTGCTGTTTTAGTGCTTTACTTGTATATAAAAGGCTCTTCCTAGAAACCAATGAATACGACTGAGCTGAGGGCTAGGGTTTGGGTTGTTGTCTTAATTATGTCTCACTTCTCTTGTCTGGAACTATTCCATATTCGCGCTTTTTCTGACTTGAATATGAAATTAGGAACGATTTAAAACAGAGTCTAGAAACTCACCTCTGCTGTTGTTTTGAGAGAACGTTTGTGTCTAAAAATTCCCAACATGTTCAGAATTCCAGCAAGAGAGTGTTGAGAGAATTTGGAAACTTCTGACACAGTGAAACCTCCTCACACATCACTTCCTCACTTCTTCGTATTGCACTCAATTGGGAAAATTATTTGCAATGGCAAGAACGCTGTCTGGATTAACAAGCTGGTTTTATGATCAGTTATGGCAAATACAAAAATTATCTATTTACTATCTCATATTTTTGTATAAACTAGCTTATCAGTTTTGTTTTATTATGTAATTAAATAACAGTATAACAGTAATTAACTAATTCACTGCCAGCCGTTTCCTGATCAGAAAAGCGTTTCTCTGCCACCATTTTTCAGTGTTTTCACAGTTTTTTAATAGTCACTGATCGTTGCACTCAACGACAAAACTAACAAAACAAAGAGGAGACTCACATCAGGAAGAATCTGCGTGTTTCGAGCGTTACCCGTTCTTTCATAATCTGTTGTGGAATTGTGATCAGCAGAAGGTTTTCTGGTTCGCGCCTCAGCATCGGCCCAAAACAATCTCCTAACACATGGATTTTCTGCTTCCTGATCACGTGACGTGTGACGTACGCGGATGAAGATCGGCTTTAGAGCTGGGATGTTTGTTCTCATGGTGCGAGGGATCGTTCCGATGCCCACACAGTAAAAACAATGCAAATGACGACTTTAGTCGTCATTGGCAGTGAACGATTGGATTAAAATTAAGACTTTTGTCATCAATGACAGTGAATGAATTAAGAGATAACATAGGCAGTTTCCACCTACAATCCCTCCACCAGAAGCAGCAGATATCTGATGAAGGTATTGTCCTTGATACATCTGGATTATATCACCTGATCTGAACGGCATTAAATTAGCCTCCGAGAACAAAGTAAGGAACCTTGGTGTTATCTTTGACCAGGACATGCCATTCAAATCCCAAGTTAAACAGGTTTGTAGGATTTCCTTTTTCCACCTTCGGAATATTGCTAAGATTAGAAGCATCCTTTCTAGGAGTGATGCTGAAAAACTAGTTCATGCATTTATTACATCAAGACTGGATTACTGTAATTGATTACTCTCAGGAAGTCCACAGTATGTAGTTAAAAGTCTTCAGCTTGTCCAAAATGCTGCAGCTAGAGTTCTGATGAGAATGAAAACGAGAGATCATATCTCTCCTGTCTTAGCTTCCCTACATTGGCTACCTGTTAAATTCAGAATATATTTTAAGATCCTTCTTCTCACATATAAAGCTCTTAATAATCAAGCTCCATCATACATCAGTGATATGATTGTTCCATATGTTCCTAACAGAGAACTATAACAATTAGCCACTGTTACGAATCCTGAGCTCTCGCACCTTGAATGGCCCAGTTCTCCCTCCATGCTGTTCAGGACCTTGGACAGGTCCTCCGTCAGGCTGGCCTTCACCTCTGCCCGCCTTCGCTGTCCCAGCTGCATACCATCAACTAATGAGGACAGATGGTTTAAAATACTTCAGCTTTCAGTTCTCGTGGAGAGACTCACAGCTTAACACCCTGTCTTTCTCTCCTCAGTTTGGATCTTTGTGACATACGGTTTAGATTTGGTAAAATCCGGTAAAGACCTTTGATGATTGTGACAGTTAAGATAGATAGTTCCTTTTGTTTAACCATCGAGTAATTATTAGTCATGTTTGTTTAGTGATCCCTTTTTGGTCTGCTCTAGTGCTTGAATTTCAGTTTCCTTTTCAGCTTTAGGGCTCGCTTTAAGTTTTGTTAGGAGTAATAATATTTAGAATAGTGATAGTCGTCGAGATTTGTTTTAGTTAGTTAGTTCCGGCATTTATTTTTTTGTTTGTTAGTACCGATATTCTCGTGTTTTCTTCCCTGAGACCGTTTGTCTCAGGTGTTTTGAGTTTTCTCCATCGCCTTCGTTAGTTATATCCGAGTGTATTTTGCGTTTTGTTTTGTGTTTTCCAGTCAAGGACTGAGTGATTGTGTTCGCCCTTTGTTAATAAAAATACATTTTTTTACACTCCCCTTTTCTCTGCACCAGTTTTGATGTTACCCCTCTACCACAATGCCTAAACAACTTCAGGGTTTGTAACAGCCACCTTCACTTTCATTAGTATATACACACACAAGGGGTACTGAATGCCCTAAATTTAATTACAAGGTCAGCAAAAATCATTTAATCATCCATGGCACTAATCAGTCTCTATATAACATTTCAAATACAGTGAGACACATCACCCAAATAAACTATAATTTTGTTTCTACTTGTTTTCAGGAAACTTAAAACACGAATTCCAACTGTATCTCTCTGACATAGAAACCCCAATGAAATAACCCCAAAAAGTCCATCTATAGCACCAGAATGCATTTTGAAAGTCTCTGATTGGTGCAGCCGCGCACACCTGAATGCAGCCGAATTGTCCACGAAAAAATAAAATCAAAATTGTGGCTCATAGCAAAACAGAAGCAAGTGGTGTACCACAAAAAATAAATAAACTAAAGGACTGATCTCATCGGATTCCACAGGTATCAACAACAATACATTTTCTAGAATACTTTATTATTTTTGGTCTGGCCTAATGTGGCAATGCCACAGCACTTGCTTTCAGACTGCAGGTTTACTGGTGGTTCCTTGAATATCTAAAAATAGAATGGGAGGCAGCTCTTTTAGCTATCAGGCTCCTCTTCTGTGGAAGCAGAAATGACGCAATTGCTGACATCACATCATGCTTGATGCTGGATCAAGAACATGATCATGCCTGTCCTTGTTGCCATTGTAGCCTGACTAAACTTTCTGCTCTGGCTCAAGAGCTGATCACAACTGTCAATCCTGATAGAGATGAGAAATAATGAAAGAGAAAAGTCATTAGAATACAGTCTGATCATTAGGAGGAAAAAGCAATCAGAAATTCTGTTCTGACATTTAAAATGGACTACTATCATGGAACTCCTTTTATTTTACGTCCCATGCCTCATGATCAGACATGAGAAATAAAAACCAAATGAGATGTAATTTCCCAGCTAAATCCTGCAGTGTGCTTTTACTCAGTCATTGTGTCAAAATGCAAAAGACAACCTTGGTGTAAGAACATAATTCAGCATCTAACTGAAACCCACTCATCACATCAGCATCACATAATAAAAAACCCTGAAACAAAAGGTATGGTGTTCATGATCTGTAAAGGATTACATCATCAAAACTGTACAAGCGATCTGAAGTTTTTATCAGAACCCGCTCCACTTCTGCAAAATAAATAAACAAATAAAACGCAGAAAACATTTGAAGAAAAATCCCCTGATTGTTTGTTTTCAGCCCTTTCATTGTTAAGGTCAAGGATTATTAATGCTGCCTTTAATAAATGGCAGAAACCAAAAGAAATTAAATATCAGCAGGAAATCTTTTTGGTATGGAAAAACAAAGGTATCGTTTAATTAATGGAGCCCAGAGCAGCTAATTTCAGGTGTGGACTCTTTATCCTTATAATAATCCATCAGCAGGATTAAGTGAATGAACTCCTTTAGTTGAGCCAGTGCGCTGTCAGGAAAGCCCAAAGTAAATCTTCATCCTATCAGAAACACACATCTGTTCTTTAATCCGTTTGAGCGGAGAGAAGAAACGGATCTTTTCCCACTTTCAGTCCCAATGTTCATTTAGTGAATCTGAGCACATCAGGAAGTAGCAACCAGTCATTAGAACAAGGCCTTTACATTTACATTTCTGTTCCGGCCACATCCATCCTGCATTCCTCCCCTTCAGCTGAACTTCAGACTTGTCAGATTAGACCTTCATGATGCTTTATTATTTTTTTTTTGTGTTAACTTTCGGTTACGAGAAAACACTGTTTTAGAAGGTTTCTGTCATTTTGTTATTTTATGAAAAGATAAGGCATTTAATGCAAAAACACTGTGAAAATTTGCCATATTTTTTGCAACAAAGTTTGGATAAAGCCAAGTTTAATGTAAAAAAAACATATGATATATTTAGATGATTAAGTACAAAGATTTCTTCAGGTGTGATTTTTGTGTAGTTAGAATGAACTATAAAAGAAGAAGAAGAAGAAGAAGAAGAAGAAGAAGAAGAAGAAGAAGAAGAAGAAATCATTTCTATAATGCCACTCAATGAAAAAAATCACGAGGCACTTTACAAAAACAAATGTAAAAATATAAAAAATAATTTAGAAAATTATTAAAAATATATATAAATGGGCAAAAAATTGACAATTGTGATTACAAATGTAAAGAAAGAGAGATAGTTAATGAGAAAGAGGGAAATCAGTGGATCCTGCAGAAGGTGGAATAGGTGGGGAGAGCAGAATAAGGAGAGAGTGATGAAGGTCACACCAAAACCAGCTTGAACAAGTGAGTTTTCAGCTGCTTTTTAAAGGAGATCACTGAGTCCAGTAATCTCAGGCTCAGGGGGAGAGAGGCCCAGAGTCTGGGGGCCACAGCAGTAAATGATCTGTCACCTTTGACCTTTATCCTGGTGCTGCACAACCAGTAGGCTTCGATCACTGGACCTCAGGGGCTTGCTGGGG